TTACCCAGGCTGGAGTGCAATGGCGCGATCTCGGCTCACCGCAACCTCCGCCTCCTGGGTTCGGGCAGTTCTCCTGCCTCAGCCTCCTCCAAGTTGTTTTCTAATATTTTATTCCAAATTCCTCCAAACAAAACAACTTACAGCTGCAAGTCACGCTGGCTTTCTGGTTCACTGCCTACTTGGGCACAAATAACTGGTACACTGGCTCCCAGTAGGCCTGGCACAGTTCCAGGCTCTTTGGGTACGGAACCTCTTGGACTCCATAAAGTTAATTTTCCAGACAAACTTGATTTAACCTGGTATGAACTTCAGACGATATAGCTTCGGGGAAATTCACACTGACTTTCTCACTTCATTTCAAAATATTTTTTTAATTGTCAAAAAGAAACATTCATGAACATAGACCATATTCTTTCTGGGTCATAAAACAAAATAAAACATTCCAAAGAATTTAAGTAATGTAAAGTGAGTTATCTGAAAATAATGGAATTAAACTAGAAATCAATAACAGAAAGATATCTTTAAAAATTCCCAAATGGTTGGAAATTAACACACTACAAAAATAACCCATGAGTCAAAAAGGAGGTCACAAGGAAAATATTTTTGGGCCGGATGCGGTGGCTCACGCCTGTAATTCCAATACTTTGGGAGGCCAAAGCGGGGGGGTCATTTGAGGTCAGGAGTTGGAGACCAGCTAGGCCAACATGATGAAACCCCGTCTGTACTAAAAATATAAAAAGTGACTGGGCGTGGTGGTATGTGCCTGTAGTCTCAGCTACTTGGGAAGCTGAGACAGGAGAATCGCTTAAGGTGGGAGGCAGAGGCTGCAGTGAGCCAAGACTGCACCATTGCACTCCAGCCTGGGTGACAGAGTGAGACTCTATCTCAAAAAAAAAAAAAAAAAAAAGAAAGAAAATATTTTTGAACTGACTGAAAATGACAATACAACATATCAAGATTTTTGTTATGTATTTAAAGTGGTGCTTACAAGGAAAATTATGGCATTAAAGGCTTATATTAGAAGGCCAGCTTTGGTGGTTCATGCTTGTAATCCCAGAACTTGGGAGGCTGAGACAGGTGGATTATCTGAGCTGAGGAGTTGGAGACCAGCCTAGGCAATATGGTAAAACCCTGTCTCTACAAATCATACAAAAATTAGCCAGGCATTGTGGCACACCTACTTCGGAGGCTGAGGCAAGAGGATTGGCTGAGCCTGGAAGGCAGAGGTTGCATGAGCCAAGATCTCACCACTGAACTCCAGCCTGGGTGACCGAGCAAGACTGTCTCAAAAAAAAAAAAAAAAAAAAGCTTATGTTAGAAAAGAAAATAGGTCAGGCATGGTGGCTCATGCCTGTAATCTCAGCACTCTGGGAATCCGAGACAGGAAGATCACTTGAGGCAAGAGTTTGAGACAAGCCTGGGCAACATAGACATATCCCCATTTCCACAAAAAAGTAAAAAAAATTAGCTGAGTAGGGTGGTGTGAACCTGTAGTTCTAGCTACAGGAAAGCCTGAACCCAGGAGTTTAAGGTTGCTGTGATCAGGCCACTGCACTCTAGCCTGGGCAACAGAGTGAGACCTCTACACACACACACACACACACACACACACACACACACACACACACCCCACCCCTAAAATTAATTATTTAAGCTTCCATCTTAAAAAAAAAAAAAAAGCCGGGCGCGGTGGCTCAAGCCTATAATCCCAGCACTTTGGGAGGCCGAGGCGGGTGGATCACGAGGTCGAAAGATCGAGACCATCCTGGTCAACATGGTGAAACCCCGTCTCTACTAAAAATACAAAAAAACTAGCTGGGCAGTGGTGGCGCATGCCTGTAATCCCAGCTACTTAGGAGGCTGAGGCAGGAGAATTGCCTGAACCCAGGAGGCGGAGGTTGCGGTGAGCCGAGATCGCGCCATTGCACTCCAGCCTGGGTAACAAGAGCAAAACTCCGTCTCAAAAAAAAAAAAAAAAAAAAAAAAGAAAAGAAAAAAGAAAAGAAGAAGAAAAGGAAAGAAAAAAAGCTAGAAAAAGTCACTAGGCTGGATGTGGTGGCTCATACCTGTAATCCTAGCACTTTGGGAGGCTGATGTGGGCAGATCACCTGAGATCAGGAGTTTGAGACAAGCCTGGCCAACATGGCGAAATCCTGCCTCTACTAAAAAACACTAAAATTAGCCGGTGTGGTGGTCATGCCTGTAATCCCAGCTACCTGGGAGGCTGAGGCAGGAGAATCACTGGAACCCTGGAGGCAGAGGCTGCAGTGAGCCAAGATTGCACCACTGCACTCCAGCCTGGGTGACAGAATGAGACTCCGTCTTAAAAAAAAACAAAAACAAAAACAAGAAGTAAACACAAAGCAAGCAGAAGGAAGGAAGAAAATAATAAAGAGATGAAATTAGTAAAATTGTAAAACAAGGCCGGGCAGGTGGCTCATGCTGGTAATCCCAGCACTCTGGGAGGCCGAGGTGGGTGGATCACGAGGTCGAGAGATCGAGACCATCCTGGTCAACATGGTGAAACCCCGTCTCTACTAAAAATACAAAAAAATTAGCTGGGCATGGTGGTGCGTGCCTGTAATCCCAGCTACTCAGGAGGCTGAGGCAGGAGAATTGCCTGAACCCAGGAGGCGGAGGTTGCGGTGAGCCGAGATTGCACCATTGCACTCCAGCCTGGGTAACAAGAGCAAAACTCCGTCTCAAAAAAAAAAAAAAAAAAAAAAAAAATTGTAAAACAGATAAACAATAGGAAATCAATTAAATCAAAAGCTAGTTTTCTTAAAAGATCAGTAAGATTGATAGGCCTTAGTCAAAGTGAGGAAAAAGGAGAAAAAATTTACCAGTATCAAGAATAAAATCTAGAACACTACTACAGCTCTTACAGACATTAAAAGGATAATAATGTAATAATATATTGAACAAATTAATGACCATAAATTTATTAGGTGAAATAGATGCCTTAAAAGACACAAACTACCAAAGTTTTCTCAAGAAGTAGACATCCTGAATACCCTGTATTTTATTTTAAAAACAGAATTTGTAATTACAACAATTTCAACAAAGACAACTCCAGGTCTAAGTGGTTTTACTGGCAAATTCTTCCAAATGCCAGGTGCGGTGGTTCACTCCTGTAATCCCAACACTTTAAGAGGCTGAGGTGGGCAGATCACCTGAAGTCAGGACTTTGACACCTGCCTGGCCAACATAATGAAACCTTGTCTCTACTAAAAATCCAAAAAGCATTAGCTGTGAGTGATGGCACGTGCCTGTAATCTTAGCTACCAGGGTGGCCAACGCAGGAGAATTGCTTGAACCTGGAAGGCGGAAGTTGCAGTGAGCTAAGATCTCGCCACTGCACTGCAGCCTGGATGACAGAGCAAAACTCTGTCTCGAAAAAAAGAAAAATTCTAGGCTGGGCGCGGTGGCTCACGCCTGTAATCCTAGCATTTGGGAGGCTGAGGTGGGTGGATCACCTGAGGTCAGGAGTTCAAGACCAACCTGGCCATCATGGTGAAACCCCATCTTGAAAAAAAATAAAGAAAGAAAAAGAAAGAAAAATTCTTCCAAACTTTTAAGGAATTAGTAACACCAATTTAAGGTAAACATCTCTAGAAAATAAAAGGGAAGGGAAACACTTCCCAACTCATTTTCTGAGATCAGCATTATCCTGATACCAAAATTCGCAGGTATTACAAGAAAACTATACATCAATCTCTCTCAAAATGTGAATGTAAAAATTTTCAATAAAATATTACTGATCAAATCAGCAATATATTAAAATGATAGAATCATAAATAAGTTGGGTTTATCACAGGAACAGGAGGTTGGTTCAACATTTAAAAATCAACGTAGCTGGATGCGGTGGCTCACGCCTGTAATCCCAGCACTTTGGGAGGCTGAGGCGGGTGGATAACAAGGTCAGGAGTTTGAGACCATCCTGGTCAACAACCCCGTCTCTACTAAAAATGCAAAAAAATTAGCTGGGCATGGTGGTGCGTGCCTGTAATCCCAGCTACTCAGGAGGCTGAGGCAGGAGAATTGCCTAAACCCAGGAGGTGGAGGTTGCGGTGAGCCAAGATCGCGCCACTGCACTCCAGCCTGGGTAACAAGAGCGAAACTCCATCTCAAAAAAAAAAAAAAAAAAATGAATGTAATTCACTGTATCAACAGACTACATTTAAAAAATCAGGTGGTGCACACCTATAATTCCAGCTACTCAGGCCTGGCAGAAGTGGGAGGATTGCTTAGGCCCAGGAGATCAAGGCTACAGTGAGTAGTGCTAACACTACTGCACACTAGCCCGGGTGACAAAGCGAGACTCCCTCTCAATTAAAAAAAAAAAAAAAAAAGGAAAGAAAATGTATATGATCATCTCAATAGATGAAGAAATGCATTTGATAAAATTCAACATCAATTCATAATTTTTAAAAGCAAACGAAAACACACATTTAAGCAAACTAGGAAGGAAAGTGAATTTTCTCAGCCTCCTATTAATAAAAGGCTCTGTGTTAGATACATATGGCTGCATAATAAATTACCCCAAAACATAACAGCAAACACTCGGTTTCTCAAGGTCAGGAACCCCAGTATGGCTTAGCTGGGTGCCCTGGCTCAAGGTCTCACAAGTGAACTGGGGCTACAGTCTCGTCTGAAACCTCGCTGGGGTTGGGTGGTGGTGGGGATCCACTGTCCTCAAAAGGCTACATACGGTCTGATTTCATTTTTATGACATTCTGCAAAAGGCAAAACGAAAGAGACAGAAAACAGATCAGTGGTTCCCATTTGCAAACAGTTTCAGTTCTCAGACCACCTCTAGGTCTTCCCTGTACTGGATTTCCAGAGCAGCCACCAGCCCTCTCTCCTCAGTTCCAGGCTCCTTTCTGAACCCTACTTGGAGTTACATTTAGTAGTATGGTGCTTGACACGGGATTGGCCCCTGTTTCATAGACACTGTTAATTTTCTCTCCTGGAGAACTACTCCCAGGGCAAGTACCCGCGTGGATGCTGGCACTGGGAACGGGGCGGATGATCAAATGTGAGGCAGTCTGCCCAGTGGCAACTGACCTGATTTCATGATTTCCCCAGGTCCATCCGATTCCCGCCAACGTGCTCAGACTTGAGCAGTAGGAGTCGGCTGGGAGAAGGATGGGGGGAAGGAACCGAAAACAGTTAAGGCAGGCTCTGTAAGCTTCCCCCTCCCACACTGAAGTCGGACAGCAGAAGACTGCCGTGGAACCTTCCCTGCTGGGGGAGGAAAGTGCTGACTTGAACCGGTTTCTGCGGCCTCGCCTTCCTCTTCTTTCCTTTCTCCCCCTCATTCATTCACTGACGCCGCAGCGCTGAGCAGCACCGGCACAGAAGCGGCCTCCAAGGGACTGAAGGGAACAACCGCGGCTCTGAGGTGTGGGGACGGCGGCTCGGGGGAAATGGGGGCGGCGCAGGAGGGGCTCCCAGCGCAGGCGTCTTCCCCGCAGACGCGGTTACAGCTGCGCTTTGCACGGCCTGCGGGAGTCCGCGAATCCAGCAGGTCTGCTCTCCCGGGAGCGGGACCTGCAGAGACTCGGCCCGCGGTCAGGACAGCTCCTGTGCACGGAGGGAGGCCCCCGGGGCCCTTCCCTGCAGCCGGGACGGCGTCCGGGCTGGGCCGGGCCGGGGGTGGGGGACCAGGCCGGGGGTGTGAAGCCGGGGCCCCGCGGCCCCGCCCAGGCCAATCCGGGGCGGAGGCCGGTTCCCATAGGGATTGCGGGCCGAGCCGCGGCGGGCCGGGCCGGGCGAGAGGGAGAAGGCGAGGCGGGAGCCAGGCCAGGCCCCGACGGCCGAGGCGCGGTGAGTCCCCGCCGGCAAGGAGGCGCGGGCCGTCCCGGGCCAGCACGTGGCGCCTCTCCAGGCCGCGCGGCGTGGCTGGGGTGCAGGGAGGGGCGCGGGAGGGTCTTTCCGGTCCCAGGGGCGCGGGACGCGGGGCGGTATCCTGCGGCCGGGCCTCGCCGCCGCCCCCGGGGGAGCCGGGAGGTGTCTTCTTGCCGCAGGGAAATGAGACCCGAAATTAGAACCGGGGAAGCCCTGCGCCCTCCCGGTGCTCCAGCCAGCTCATGTGTCTTAGGTCGGATGAACTATAGCGTTAAAAAGATAGATTGTCTTACAGCTCGGCTCGTTTTAGGAAGGCAGGTTACATTTTAACTTGCAGGGTATTTAACGGGCGATTAAAATCGGGTTACCCCAAGCAGCGAACTCTAGGCTGTTATTCCTGATCGCGTTGCCATTGCCAACACGGGTCCACTCCTCATTCCTTAACGTGTGCTCTTCTGTTCTAGACCCGTGACAAACACCCATCGTTGGGTGGTGCTCTAGTAGAATCCGTTCGTGCCAATATTTTATAAGCGACGTTTTCAAACAATGTGAAGATCCCCCCCCCTTTTTTTTTTAACGGAGTCTCGGACTGTCGCCCGGGCTGGAATGTAAAGGTGCGGTCTCGGCTCACTACAACCTCCGCCTCCCGGGTTCAAGCGATTCTCCTGCCTCAGCCTCCTGAGTAGCTGGGACTATAGGCACCCACCACTACACCCGGCTAATTTTTTGTAGTTTTAATAGAGTCGGGGTGTCACTATGTTGGCCAGGCTGGTCTCGAATTCCTGAGCTCGTGATCCACCTGCCTCCACCTGTGAAAGTGCTGGGATTATAGGCGTCAGCCACCGCGCCCGACCGAAGATCCGATCCATTTTAAGATTTATTCCTCTATGATGGAGAAGTATGAAAAAATTGGGAAAATTGGAGAAGGATCCTACGGAGTTGTTTTCAAATGTAGAAACAGGGACACGGGTCAGATTGTGGCCATCAAGAGGTTTCTGGAATCAGAAGATGACCCTGTCATAAAGAAAATCGCCCTTCGGGAAATCCGCATGCTCAAGGTAATTGATTCACTTTTCCCTTTTTCTTTGTCAAGACAGGGTCTCACTCTATCACCCAGGCTGGAGTGCAGTGATGTAGTCATAGCTCACTGCAGCCTGGAACTCCTGGGCTCAAGCCATCCTTCTGCCTCAGCCTCCTGAGTAGCTGGGATTACAGGTTCTAGTCACTACTCTAGGCTCCACTTTTTCTTTTAATTTTTAAGGATGAAAGAAATAAAATGAGTCATATTATGTTAAAAGAATGTCATGGCACATGGTTATATCTTACTTGATAGCCTTTTGACTTCAGTGACACAAATGGGATGTTTGTGCACAAGTCACTAATTATATAATGAAATAGAAAGGAGAAACAAAAGTGCCAGGTAAGGTGGCATTCGCTTTTAGAGATGCTGTGTGACATTTTACTTTTTTTCCCAATAATTTCTCTCCCACCTGTAGACCTGGCTGTTCAAGGGCCATCACAATTTGATAGTTTTGGGGTGTAAGAAAATTCAATTTTGCTAGCATTGTTGATTTTTAAACTTCTAAGGTATTTTCTATTGGTATATTTAGTCTATTAAGAGAATTAATCATTTGCCGGTTTTCAGACTGCTCGGAAGCTCACAGGTTTTCATTACACCTCATATGTATTTACTGCTGAGCGTCGTCATGTCCTGTTTCTAGAAAGAAGCGTTCTCCTTAAAGAAGTGAAATGATCACTTTCTAATTTTTTTTTTTTTTTACTTTTTGTAAAGAAGGGATCTCACTATGTTGGCCAGGTTTGTCTTGAACTCCTGGCCTCAAGCCATCCTCCCACTTTGCCATCCCAAAGTGCTGGGATTACAGGCATGATCCGTCAAGCCCGGCCTGATCACTTTTCAAATGTATATTAGTTAACCCTAAAAATACCATGATATCGTGGCGGGGGGGAGGTATTTATTACAAGCTGAAAGTGTGCTTTCCTCTAATGGAGCGACTTCTTTACAGAACTTCTGTAAAGATGAAATCCAAATCGCAATGTGAAAGGGAACATGTAATGAATACGGTGGAGGTCAACTTTGTTTCAGTCATGGCCTCTGTGTTCTGACCTGTATAACTAACTACATGACAAGAGCAACTTAGTGAGAGAGAGAGATGAGTGAAACTTCCAGGGGATTTACTATTATTCTTGCTTCTCCATTTTCTCCAGATCACTCTAAAAATCTTTTGCCTTTGGATAAGTGTGTGGGGTCACTTCTAGATAAGGAACCTAAATGGGAAGTAGCAAGCTTTGGATCAATTGAAATGGGTGGATAACAGGGCAACTTTTCTTTCTTTCTTTTTTTTTTTTTAAAGATGGGGTTTTACCATATTGGTCAGGCTGGTCTCGAACTCCTGACCTCAGGTGATCTGCCCACCTCAGCCTCCCAAAGTGCTGGGATTACAGGCGTGAGCCACCATGAACAGGGCAACTTTTCTATTTAGGTTTGGAATGTTCTTAACCAGCAGGATATTATCTGTTGAGAGGGGATGCTTCCAAAGGCTCCCAGGGGAGTGCTCTCTTAGGAAGGGGTGAGACTTGCAGTGTTTGACCACCCTCCTGCCTGGGTCACTCTACCCTCACCCTCTGTACACAGGGAGGCTGTTGGGCATTTTCACTTTCTCAGGCTTTCTCTAGGGGAGGAGGTAATCATGACATTTGAAAGGTTCATTTACTGAAAGAAAATCTGTTTCTTGCAAAAAGATGCTCTTTTTCTGATTCTGAAGATTACTTTTGTGACTTTCCCTTTCAAATCTCTCACCATGCTTTATCAATACTACATTCACAGTGATAGCTCTCCAACTTAATTGAGTTCTTCTGGGATGGAGGCTTTGCCTCTGTATCTCTGTATCTCCAAAACACACTCGTTGGCATATCTAGGCCTCCAACAAATGTTATTGTTGGATTGAAAAAAATAGTTAACAAAATAAGCTCTTAGGAAAGGTGGATTTGCCAATGAATTGGGAAGTCAGATGTGTTCTCTTAACTGAATATTGATGTACTCCAAAGGGTGGGTTTGTATGTACATGAGCCTGGTTTCAAAGCATGCAGCACCTCACTCTCCAGATTAAGTGCATGGATGTAGACACTCCTGATGTCTGTGAAGTGGTGGGACTAGATTATAGGTAGAGTCTGTCTCTTACAGCTGTAACTTTTCAGAGTTGTGTGATATTCCTAACACATATTATGTACTATGCTGGGCATGGTGGTGCCTGCCTGTAGCCATAGTTACTTGGGAAGGAGGCTATGGCAAAAGGAGGGCTTAAGCCCAGCAGTTCAAGGCTACGGTGAGCTATGATTAGGCCACTGTACTCTAGCCTGGGTGACAGAGTGAGACCCTGTCTCTTATAAAATAAAGATACTTCGTCAATATTTGCCAAGTAGGTGAATTAAGAGTATGGGAAATAAACATTTGATTTTCTCCATTTATGTATTCAGTAGTCGTTGACCCCCAGTTGTCCCTAAAACAATGTTTATGCAGAGTTGTACACCCTATCTTTCAGAAGCTCGGCTCTCGGAAGGGAGGTAGGATGAACTGACCTTTGGCTGTCACTCCTGATAGACTGAGTTCCCAGTGAGCAGGGCAGGCGTACTCTTGCTGGTAAGAACTCTTTAGGTGCTTGTTGAATGGTGAAAATAAAGTGATTGGGGACATGTTTGAGCTGAACTTAGAAATGTTGAAGGAACATGGAATGAGAGATAAGGCATTCAAGGCAGACACCCTATCCTAGGAAAAGATGTGTAAGTGGAAAGCACAGTGTATTCAGGGAACACAGGTAATTAATAACCCCAGTGTGTTGGCCAAGATGCCTGGTGGGTGCTAACAGGCCAGGGAGAGGAGGAAGCGGGAAGCCAGGGTCCAACAGGATCAGGTTGTTGAGATATGCTGAGTGTATGATAAAATATGTTGTTTGCTAAGAAGAATAATAGCAAGGAAGATCTAGCTGCCACCACCCCCGCAAGTGATAAGTACATTTGTATGCTAAGGGGGTAAATCCAGTAGAGAAAAAAACTTGATTTTGGACTAGGGAGAGAATTGCCGGAGCCATGACCTTGAGTTACTGTCCTCAGCCATATTAACCATAAATATAATTGCATAAAAAAAGACAATTTAGACTGGGTGTGGTGGCTCAGGCGTGTAATCTCAGCACTTTGGGAGGCCGAGACAGGCAGATCACCTGAGGTCAGGAGCTTAAGGCCAACAGGTGAACCGCGTCTCTGTTTTAAAAATACAAAACTAGCCAGGCATGGTGGGAGGCGCCTGTAATCCCAGCTACTTGGGAGTCTGAGACGGGATAATTGCTTGAAGCCAGGAGGTGGAGACTCCAGTGAACTGAGATCGCACCACTGTGCTCCAGCCTGGGCAACAGAGTAAGGCTGCTAGATTCTTTATGTACGCTTTCCTTAATCTATCTGTAACAGGATCCACAGCTGACTCCAAGCTATGGGGTGAAACTTTTTCCACCAGGGTATTCACCGTCTTCTAGTTTGCATGAGAAACATGGACCCCGCATTAATTCAACTCCTTTCCATAACTTAGGTTTAAACATATTAAGGATTTATTGGATGAGAGGTAGGGTGGACACAACTGGAAATCAGGTTATAGAGAGAGAGACAAGGTAATTGAAAGAAAATCACCTTAAATCAAGAAGTTAGGAGCTGTGCACCTGCAATCCCAGTATTTTGGGAAGCCAACATGTGGATCTCTTGAGCCCAGGAGTTCAAAACCAGCCTGGGCAATGTGGTGAAAGCCTATCTCTATAAAAAATAGAAAAACTAGCTGGGTGGGGTGGCATGCACTCCTACTTCCAACTATCCAGGAAGCTGAGGTGGAAAGGTCACCTGAGTTCTGGGAGTCAAGCCTGCAGTGAGCTGTGATTATGCCGCTACCACTCTAGCCTGGGCAACAGAGTAAGACCCTGTCTCAAAAAAAAATCAAGAAGTCAGGCACGATGGGTTGATGCACCACAGGCTCTGTGGTGGAAAGTGGGCAGTGGTTCTGCATAAAGCAGGTGGATGCACTTGATCTCAACAAGCCCCTTGGAGGAATATCTGTGTGTCCCGCAAGGAGGGGGCTATCTGGTTCAAAACAAATACAAACCAACCAACCTAGAATGATTGTGCTACTAAGGCCCCAAGCCCCTCTGCTGCTGAACCTTTTCTCTGTGGAATGAAAACGGTAGGAAGAGGAAGGAAAGAATTTCGGCTGCAGTGGCAGAAAAAGTAGATGCTTCTAGCGGAGTTGGAGGTCAAGGACAGGACAGTGTCATTATGGGATCTCTGGGTAGATGTTCTACCTATGGCAGATAGTATGGGGGCATTAAAATATATTAGACCAGCATCAGTCAAGGGCTGAATGCAGCAGCTGGGACATTGTGTGTGACAGTTCTCCCTCCAGAAAACATGAAAAACAAGAGAGACAAGAAGAAGGAATCGTCTGCTCTGCGGCAGGTAGGGGCAAGGGACCTAGTAGATTTGGACAAACTGCCAAGTATGGTTGTTACCTAGGATGCACAGATTATACTAATGACAACCTTAGAAGGTAGATATTGTTGTCCCATTTTACAAATGGACGCAGGATGGTTAATGATTTGCCAAGGCCTCCCGCTCAGTGAGCTGGAATGCAGTCACAGTTCTCTCCGTCCCCAAGTTCATGCCATGCGGCTTGCCCACACCAGAACCATCTGCCACTTTACAGCAAACACCATACTCTGAAGTCTCCCAGTGACTGGTCCTCAGCATTTTTTTTTTTTTTTTTTTTTTTAATGAGAGGGAGTTTCGCTCTTGTTACCCAGGCTGGAGTGCAATGGCGCGATCTCGGCTCACCGCAACCTCCGCCTCCCGGGTTCAGGCAATTCTCCTGCCTCAGCCTCCTGAGTAGCTGGGATTACAGGCACGCACCACCATGCCCAGCTAATTTTTTGTATTTTTGGTAGAGACGGGGTTTCACCATGTTGACCGGGATGGTCTCGATCTCTCGACCTCGTGATCCACCCGCCTC